GAAGAGGAGGATGAAGAGCAGGATGAAGAGCAGGATGAGGAGCAGGATGAAGAGGAGGATGAAGAGCTGCTGACTGAGCCTCTGAACTGATTTGATTGACGTTAATCTGATTATCAGAACGGATCGATGAAGAACACCACGACCACTCTCTCTTCCCCAGACTCAAGTTTAAAGACGACCATTTTAAACTTCTGTTAGCGTTCACTCGTTTTTTAAACAAATAACTTCACAATTTATACAGTTCATACACACGTGTTAGGTCTCTCGGTGAATTCGGCATACACTGATTTAGCGAACAATTCTTTAAATGAGCAAATCTCAACCTTCCTTCCTTTCCTTCGCTGCGTGTCACCGTCCATTGTGGGATGGCAGAAATAACAGGGAAGCGAATGACAAAAGTTGTGTTTGTGTTGATTCGAGCGCAGGTTGAAGTGTTGTGTGTCCGCCGAATATTACACTTTAACTACCGGTTTAACAATAATGTGTCGCAATCCTGTCAGCGCGTGTTCACATGTGTTTCACCGACAATTCGGTAAATCCGGAGGTTTTCAAACGATGTTCGGCACAGCTCCGTCACAGACACGAGCTTCAACCATCGTTCAATTCACGACATGAGAGAAACAACACGAAGAAGAAGCAGCGGGAGGAGGACTTACATTAACCCGGAGAAGAGAGCTGGTCCCCGGCGTCTGAGCCTGAAGAGAGTCGGTCCTCACGGAGGTCCGCTGGGCGGGTCCTCACAGTGACGGTGGACCACACTGTTCACACGCACGCGCACATTCACGAGGTTTGACCAAAAACAACAAAGTTTCAAAAGTTACAAGAAAAGTTAACGCAACGTGTGTGTGTGTCAGACTGTGTGTGTGTGTGTGCGTGTGTGTGTGTCTGTGTCAGACTGTGTGTGTGCGTGTGTGTGTGTGTGTTTGTGTGTCAGACTGTGTGTGTGTGCGTGTGTGCGTGTGTGTCAGACTGTGTGTGTGTGCGTGTGTGTGTGCATGTGTGTGTGTGTGTGAACATCAGGAAGAACAAGGGTTGTGTGTGTTTTCCGGTTAAGGCTCCTCCCCCTCTCCGCTGTTGCGACATGCCCCCTTTTCGCCACCTATTACGTCACAGTCAGCTGACTCACCTGAGCGACACCAGACTCAAAGACTCAAAGACTCAAACAGGCCTCTGCTCTCCTTCCGGAGGAGTCTTCAGATACTTGACTACAATACTCCATCACAAGTACTGCATGTAAAGCACAAGTACTGAAGTATCTTCTACGTGTAACTAACCCATGTAGAAGTACTGTAAAGTACCCAGTTACAAGTATCATTTAACCAGAGTATCTTTAGTAATTATACTACAGTATTATGAAGTATATTTTTAACTCTCAAGTATTTTAAAGTATCCAAAGTAAAAGTACAGAAGTTGTATCATGTCGATGTACTTGAAATATCCGAAGTAAACATGGACTTTAGGTATTTGTAATCTGATTACAAATGATTGGTTCATTCGTGGTGTGATGTCGCCTCCTAGTGGCGTCACTGTGTAATACTGTGGTGCGTTCATGTGCATGGGATTTTCAGCGGTTATATCCAAATTTAGACAGACAATAAAAAAATTGACAGATAGATGGATGGATAGAGAGAGAGAGAGAGAGAGGGAGGGAGGGATGGATGGATAAAGATAGAGAGAGAGAGAGAGGGAGGGAGGGATGGATGGATAAAGATAGAGAGAGACAGAGAGAGGGAGGGAGGGAGGGATAGATAGATAGATAAGTTAAATAAGTGTTATTCATTTTACTGTTGATAAATGTTAATTAGTGTTAGCATTAGTGACTGTCAATAAAGATAGGCAACATCACGGCTTGCCAAAAGTGAAGCCAAAGCTTCTCTATCGCCCCCTGGTGGCCTGCTGCCGTACAGGTCATGTGGCTTGAACATCTTACTCTTCTCTGCATGACTGTTTACCACAGATACACTTTTGTCTCTGGACTGTTTCCTGCGTCACTGCAGCAGAAGCAGCAGGTAACCGCTGAATGTGGCGTCCGTCAGTAGCGTAGATACGATTCTGATGATGTCACACTCAGCTCTGTAACGTAAATGTAACGTTCATCAGACAAACACCTACATCATCGTGAGTGAAGAAGAACGAGTCGGACACTGAACTTTTTATGTTGTTCCTTTTTATTTTTCAATCATCTTTTTCATCCTGCTGCGTAATTTGCGATGATTCTTTTCTAATATATGATGCGATATATGACGTGTGAGAGAAAAGGTGCAAACATCAGCAAACACAAAGAAAGATCAAGAGAGTTCAGCCTCTGTTGCCGTGGCAACAGTTGGCCTCTGTTGCTTTGTAATGACATCATCATGACATCAGGCGGTGCTGCGAGCAATGAAAGCTCCGCCCACAGGCTGAGGTCAGCAGGTCGACTCAGCTCAGAGGAGACGTCAGTGATGAGATCATTTAAAACAGAGTCGACCTGCTGTTCTTTCACTGCCGAGCAGCCGTTCTACGTTTCACTGGCAACGCTGCCGTCGTGGACACGAACCAGAAACAAAAACACCATCAGAGTTTTTATCACATCATGAAAACTGATCAGTCAATAAATAAATCTACACCCATGAGGTCGAATCTTTCCCATCTCCCACGGGACTTAAACGCAGGACACTGCGTTTGACAAACTTAAAAAAAAATCAGAAAAAACAAACTGATTTTTTCTGAAATTTTAAATGACAAAAAATAAAAGTAGAAATAAAAAAGTGAGTAAATTTGTTCTTTTTCTGATCACAGAAGAATTTAAACAGACTCAACTTTAGATTTTTTTTGTATTATTTTGGTGGCACTCTCAATCCTCCATACATCTTTTTTTTTAAGGTGCGTTGTGGCGTGACGGCAGCGCTGCGTTGTTCTGACGTCACAAAGGAAACTCGTGTTACAACATTCATGTGCAGAGTTTGGTTTGTGTCGGGAACAGAAACTTTCAGTCATTAAACTTCTTGGATCTGCAGACCAACGAGTTTCTGTCGCTCCTCCGACCTGAAAATCACCAAACTGGAAGACTTCCTCTGAGGCAGTGCGGTGGATTGTGATTGGTTCGTTCCTTCATTCCGTCATCGGTCTGTTCGTCCAATTTTAACCAACAAACTTCAAAATTCCAAAGCAAGATCAAAGAAGAAAAAATAAAAACCTGGGCTGCGGGAGCCAATCGGAGTCGAACTCTACCCCCTGACTCCTCCCCCTCGTCTCGTTAAGTGGAAGCAGAAACAGCAGCATGCATCAGTTCAGCTGTCGAGTGAAAACTCTTTTTATTTTCCACGTGCAAACAAACCTTCAGCTTCACGTCTCTTTTCGTTTCCTGCGTCAGCAAACGTCGGCTGATGGAGACGACCAAGTTTCCCAAAAATGATTCTGTGTGAGTTTAGACGTCAAACTGAAACTACAGATTTAAAATGATTTGACCAACTGTGAAAAACCACAGACGTGTTCCTGACGTGTTCCTGACGTGTTCCTGACATGTTCCTGTTGTTGTGAATGAGTCGGACCCGGGCGATCGGCTGCTGCTTCACAGGAGGAACAAACTTCGTGTCTGAAAACAGATTTGAAATGTTGTGGAGTCACTTTGTTAAAGTCGAACGACTTCATGTCAGAAGTGTTAAAGAATTAAAATCGTCACTCGACAACAATTGGAGACGACAGATGTGATGTGTTTCGTCCACTGACGTTCGGCTTTGTGAGAAGAAGTAATTCTGCTCTTCTTCACAAACTTCGGCTGCAGAGGAAAACGAAGGCAGTGACAGGAAGTGAAGTAGTGAAACACAGGAAGTGGACATCGGCCTGTAAACCAGGAAATGACGATGTTGTTTTTGGGAAACTTGGTCATTAAAATGTTTAAGTGAGAGAAGAAGAAACGTGTTAAAGGTTGAATGAGGCAGTGACGAGACGTCGTCTCAACGCCTCAACGTCACACTCCGGAACAAACACACCAGTCCATGACGTCAGAGCGAGACGTGCAACCAGCCACTTCCTGGAGACGCTAGTGTCTTTTCTATAATTACAGAAAATATATATTAGTGTGAAATGTTACTGACGTTCATCACAACCTGCTGCAGGAAGAGGAGATCCTCCCGATGGTTCTGGATTCACGCTGGTTTCACTTTATTCATTCTAATCTCAGAAGTTCAGTTCACGAATCCCAGGCTCCGCCCACATTGACACGTATATTTGAAAGTGTTTAAGCTTCGTATCAGAAATAATCTCCGTCCACACTAACACGCCTGTAAACACACACTGGTCATGTGACCTGTGTGTTCTCGTCTTTTTTCCCGATGTGACGTTGGCGACGTTGACGTCTGACTGATGCAGCTCAGTTTTTGGGGCAGTGTCGTTCATCTTAGTGAAGCAGGGCAGTGTCGCATGCTGTCGAACAACCCATCAGCCGACACCTGAACGCATCACCGTGGTAACAGAGACGCAGAACGTCTGTTCTGCAACACGCAGGGGAACGAGTCGCTCGGCTCAGACCGGATCAGTTGAGTTTAGAAAACACGAAACATCAGGAACATTTCTGATGTTTTCATCCGTGTGAACTTCATCGTCCTGCAGATCAAACCATCGTCATCAGTTCACAAATCTGTTTCCTGCTTCCTGCCGCCTTCACTTCCTGTCTATGTGTGATGCATCATGTGATATATCAACGGTCACGTGACGTCACTGGTTTGTGAGCTGCTGTTTCTATAGAAACTACCAGAGGAGTCACCCCCTGCTGGTCACTAGACAGAAGACAGGTTTCGGACATGTCCACATTGGCGCCACTTTGTGGACGTTGCGTCTGTTTCTATGGTCACTGCTCTGTTTCTAAAGGTGCGTTCAGGGACCCTCCGACAGCACAGATCAATCTGACAACAACAAAGAGACAAACTCGTGAGTTTCGTCTTTTCCCACGTTTTATCTTCTGCGTTTTGGAACCTCTGACTTCATCCTTTTCACTTTATGATCATCAGGACTCTCTGTAAAAAACTGATGAGGGATCAGTACAACGATCGGCAGGATTGTGAAGTTCACGTGATTTGACTGCATGGACCCGGGTCAGGTTAAACCACAGTGATCACATGACTGACCCCCACCAGAGGAAACGAACCCGGTCCAAACCGTACAGGAAGTTCCTCAGGTGTTGCTTCCCTCGGACCCTTTTTATGGGAGCGTCTGCACCTGAAGCTACGACTCCCGGACAAAACAAAGTGAGAAAAACCAAACAAGATGTGGCTGCTGCAGAAGAGACAACAGAACTCTTCTCTCTGATTGGACAGAACGACACGGAGAAGAAGAAGAAGAAGAAGAAGAAGAAGAAGAAGCGTGACGTGTCGAAAGTGCGAAAGTTTTTGCATTCATTTGATGACAGGAAGTGAAGTTTCTACATGGCTTAAAGCTTTGGAGTTCTGAGCGCTCGCTCGACTCGGAAAACATTTTGTCATCAGCGTGACGATGATGATGATTACA